GTAGCATAAACAAATGACTGACTCTGAGCCAACCCACAGTGTCCGACAACTGTTCACACTTTGTCGGATACAGAGGCTGTGAACAAGTGAGAATCGTCAGCATTGCCAGTTGCAACAGAGCCTCCAAGAACGTCTGGATCTCGCTCCATGAATGTCGCTTGACCTCTGCCGGGGTTCCTCGAACATTGCGGAATTGCTCCGTTGACTTGACGACGATCAGGCGGAGACCCGCATCCCTGATCGAAAATGTAATCCTGTGACGCCCTCGTTGATGTACATTGTGCTGGCGGCAGAATAGATTTGAGCTCGCACTTCTGCTGAACTGCGTAGCCGTCGTAGTCCAACCGCGCCTGAGCCACGGCCTCCTGGTTCGACGCACCGATCGAGTCGCCGACGCTGCGGAGACCTTCGAGCAGGCCGCCGGACGGCCATATGTGCGGGGGGGCGAGTTCGTGCTCTTTGCCCTTGGCTTCGGCTTCGGCGGCGCAGGCGACGGCCTGCTCGCTCGTCGCCGCGATTGGAGGCGCGGCCGCGGGCGGCGCGAACGCGTCAAAGACGACTCCCGAGAGGTCCGGGCGCTGCTGGCTGAGCTTCAAGATTTGTTTCATCATGGGTGCGAACAGCGCCTTCTGCTTGTCGGAGATCAGTTGGGCCGCCTGCTTGGAGACCTCTGCTGTGCCGCCGTCGGCCCTGCGTTTCTCCCCCGCGTCGCGTCGGCCCCGGCCCCCGCTGGCCCCGCCGCCGCCGACGCCCCCCCGGTTGCCCGCGGCCGCCGGGGCGCCGGGCATGGCCAGAAAGAATCGGCAACGGTTTGGGATGGCGCTCGTCTCGAGGGCGTCGAAAAGCAAGAGGCTCGATGAGAATGCCGCGGGCGCAGCTGCAGGGCACGGCGGGCATGTCCAGTCGCCCTTCTATTCGGGCCACATACGAGACCTCCCCGTGGTTCATCTGCCATGCCCAGAAGGATGTTTCAAATAATGGCGAACAGAATGTGTATCTTTGAATGCGCTCATGCACTTCGAGCGTTGGCTTGGCATGGCGCCACTATGCAGTATGTATATCATAGTGCGACTGTTAGCGAGATGTTCCACGGGGGCTCGATAAGAGTTGAACTGGGACGCCGTCGGGGTCCGTAACCATGCATGTGCATGCGCGTTCATTGCAGCTTCAATCTTATTTACTTCTGGAAATAGGGGGCACCATGCGTCCTTGTTCGCGAGCGCTGCGGCTCGGGAGATCGAGGGATCGATTCGGATAAACTCGTTGAACGAATCGGGCGCAGGACCGAACAGGACCTGCCACGGCCACGCTGCCGCTCCCCATGCTTCGACAAAAAACTCCCGGCGCCGCTGGCCCCCGATGCTGGTGCAAGCTATGCTGGCATTCAGCGCTGTGCTGTCCATGTCGCGGCAGCGTGGGTCGCCCTTGCTGTCGATGGCAGAAAATGGCCGCCGCTGCTTGGCGGTGGGCGCGGCGGCGGGCGCGCGTGCCTTGAAGCCGCCGAATCCTGCCCGCCGCCAGTTACCCGCGCGCGGGGCGCATGCGAAATCTGCGGGGCGCCTCCAGATTCCGAAGTGCGCGAACGTTGGGCCCGTCGCAAGGCAGCACATCGCATCATAATCCGGATGCGCTTCACAGAGCAGGAGGCAAGTCCACGGTGGCCTGCTGGCCTTATTTAGGGCAAATGCGCCGAGACCTGCGACGCCACGTGCCACGACTTTGCCACGGAAGAGCTAGCACTCGAGGCGACGCAACCCTCGCCCGCGCAACAAACAAAAAAAACGATGGCAGACCCGCCAGCGCGCATAATGCGGATTCCTACATTGCATCTCAGCGACGTTCGGACCTCTCACGTAGTGACGGGCTCCCAGATGCCTTGCGTGACTACGCGCGGTGCTGCGGGACTCTGGGCAACTCTCTTGAAGGTGGCGGCTGGCCCTGGTCGATCCCAGGCATGGTATGATACCGCTCTTTTGCACGCGCAGTCGGAAGCGTCTTTTGTCCCCGGCTGCGCTCGTGTTCAGGTCGCCTCTTTGGATTGCCATCAGAGCCCCCGGCCCCGAGGAGTCCGCTGCGTTCGCCGTCGAAAGAAATCGCCTGCTAAGCCCGCCGTGGAACTGGCCAAAGCGGGGCCTCAAACGAACTGGCCAAGGCGGGGCCTCAAACTACTCAAGAGGTGCATATGGGGGCCCCGTCGACCTCGGCGGTTTCGTCGCAGCGCGCGCCGAGGGCACCTGCTCGCTGGCGGAGCGCTTCGCAGGGCCCGAAGAGGCCGCCGTTCTCGTTGATAGAGGCCTCGGACTTGTTGTCGACATGCTTTAAGCTTGCACAATTCATCAAGCGCTGCCCTGCGAAGTCCCGAATGCCATCGCACGCTGTGGGCCCGGATGCGTCCGGGACCTATCCGGTAGACGGGCGCGAGAACGCGCGCGTCGTATCGTAGCTAACAAGCGCGGGGGGGGCTCAATTATTTCGAGCGACAGCCGGCCCCTTCTCGCCCGCGATGCGCCGCGAGACCAGGCCGCCCGCTGGAGGAAAATGCCCGCCGGGCGCCCCCCCGTTGCCCCCCCGAAGAGCTAGCGCGCAACGCTGCGCGCCAATGCCTCCAGAAGACACTTGATCAATGTAGCGCCCGCCGCCCGCTGGGCGAGCATCTCCAGATTGCCGCTCGATGTCCAGAAGCGCCCCTGCTGCGAGACTAGACTTAGTCGGCAGCTGGCGCCCTTGCCAAAAACGACTCAAGAAATGAGCAAACTCCTCTCGCGCGCGCGCCAGGTTGGCCGCGGATTCTAATCGACGGCCTCGTCGGCCAGGGGCTCGCTGAAGCTCGGCTCGGGGTGAGATAGTTAGTCGCATGTGTCTGAGTTGATGACGTAGCTGGCGGCGCTGGTGGCCCCGTGGGTTTGTCCGGTAGTTCCGCCGCTGGGTGCGCGCCGCAGGTCGTCCTCCAGGTCGTCGAGGGGGCCGGCGAAATGCTCGCCAGCGTCGATCCAACGCGTCCCTGAATGCACTCTAGGCGCTGAGGAATTACGCGCGCCTTGCTCTCGCCGGCGCTCCGCCCCCGAACCGTCCCGAGAATGGTGGGGGCCCAATCCTAAACGCTCCTCGCGGTCGTCTCGAGCGCCGGGCGCGCCGCCGTAGCCCAGCCCGAACTTCGCGCATCGCTGCGTCGACAGATGTCGAGGACCCACACAAGGAGGCAAGTTCTGAGGGGGCGCCCCTTTGCGGTCCGAAGCGTCTGCCACGAGCCCACCGTTAGTCTAAAAGCATTTGCTAGATCACGACCGATGCCGCGATCTAGGCTGCCGCGACGGATGCGGACCCCAGCAGGGAGGTCGCTCAGCCTGGCCTTCATGTCGAGGTAGCGCTCTGCCCCCGCGCCTCCCTCGCCGCCGCGTTCAGGCCGGCGGCCATCGAGCTCCTCGAGCGGAGGCGCATGTAAGGCGATGGCGGTGCACCGTCGGATCTTCACTCCAGTAGATCTGCATGGGAGTAAACGTGCCAATGCGTGAACTTCGGCCTATTGTTCCAACGCTCGAGCCTCGCAGCGTCCCTGATGAAGTCGCTCGCGATGGGCGGCGCGTCGGCGGCGAGCCCGACGTCGAAGTCGTGCGGAAAATTCGCACGGCGCGGGCTGAGACTTCAAGGTGCTCGCCGTTGCGGCCGGGCAAGTTTCCGCATGTGCTCCAGCGGGTCGATGCACTCTTCGCTGCGGGGAAGGCGTTCTCGCTGCGATTCATATTCTGAAGCATTATTGGAGCTAGGCTTGACTGAGACACGCTTGGATTCAATTGCGCGCATCGTCTCCGCCAACGCGTCATTATAATCGCCGACGTGCCGTCGCGCCGCACATGCGCGAAAGGGATATGCTCGATCCCTCGCGGCTGCTTCCGCGTCCCGACGATAAAGGGTTCGCGATCAACTCCCGTCTGCAGAACGGTCGCCAGCGCGCGCGCGATGAAGGGGCATCGGGATTTCGAACCACATCTCCAATACTACGGGCACGTGATCTCGAAGGGTACTTTTCGGGATGTGCTGCAGGAGTCGGCCCGCCTGCCACACCACTCTGAACTTTCTTATGCCTGGGCCGAGTCCTCTGTGGATAGCGAAGACGCCCAGAGCCAGCGCGCCCCCTGGGCCCCGCGGCACGCGGGCCCAGACTGCGGCCAGAAGGCCACCGGGGTTGCAAGGTCGGGGTCGCGGAACATCTGGATGAATATTTCACCTGCGGGGTCATTCTTCGCAGGCGACGAGGCCCGGCGACGTCCGGGCCGGGGTCCACGAGGGAGCCGTCTTCCCGGAGTCCGAAGCCCCACCCAATGTCTAGTCCGCATGCAAGGGCACTCCTGGCGCTTATTCGCTCGAGACGATGTCGAGTGCGATGCGCGACCTCTCTCGCCGCGTGCGTTTGTGCTTGCTTATTTTTCTCCCGTCGGGTAGATCGGAGGAGGGTGCGCGCGTGGAGCTGCCTCGTCGAGACGGCCGCTCTATAGCCGACTATCTCCCAATCTGCCAGAAGAAAGCGACAACATGACGATACAGGAAGCGACAACACGACGAGACAATATGAAACGAGACAAAACTACAAGAAAAACGGGCAGGGCCGAGGCCCCACCTCGGAGTCAAAGCCGCCGAACACCACAAACGCCCAAGAGACAATCTGGGACGCCGAAGCCTCCGTCCACCACGAACCTCCCAAGAGACAATCTGGCCCAAGAAACAATCTATGATGTCGAAGCCACAGCACACAACGCAAACCCAAATGACAATCCATCGAAGCCCAACCCATACGCGTGCCAAAACTCACTCTCAGAGATCACAATCTTGAAATACTCATACGCCCTGCAATGGCGCTGATCTCCACCCATGAACCCTGAGCCAAAACAGGAAAGCACAATCCATTCACGACTGTCCCAGTACATGCGCAATCCCTCGAACCCCTAACCTTTGGACAACACCTTGCGCATCAGCTCCTTGTAGGACCCATCGTTGATTCCGACTTAGAACTTATTCTTGAGGCGCGGGCGATACTCTGTCAGCAAAGCGTCCGGCACGAAAGCCCCGTCCTCCGCCAGGGTGACCAGGATATCGGCAGGAAGGTCATCAGCATCAGACTGCGCATGCGCATACATGTGATCCGCACGACCAGGAAGATCAGTGCCACTCTCCGGAGGAAGCTCTGCACGACCAGGGTGATCATCATCCCCAGCACAATGGAGATCCTGCGCGCCATACGGACGATCAGCAGCAGGAACATCGGCACTACCGCCTGCAGGACAAATCTGCCCAGCATGAAGAACAGCACCGCGAAGATCGGCAGGAAGATCGCCAGGAATATCCGCAGCACGAAGGTCAGCATCACAATGGCCCACGCAAGGACCTCAAATAACCCCAGCAGGAAGACAGGCAGGGATATCAGCACCACGATGCCCCCCAGCAGGGAGATCGGCACCATCGCCAGCATGAGGAATACCAACAGCAAAAAGATCGCCAAGACGATCGGCACCACCGTCTGCAGGAATATCACAAACACGAATATCACAACCACGAAGACCACAACCGTCTGCGGGCCCCCAACACCACGAATATCCACAACACCAACAAGAGGAACTCCATCAGCCTGAATCAGCTGGAAGGCTGGCAGACATATCCCCAACGCAGTCAGGACCAACTCCAGAGTGACGATCGGCAGGATGATCATAGTCATCGCAGAGGCGACGCGCAACAACATACAGAGATTCACCCCCATCAGGAACATATTCCCTAGCATCACAAGGGCCACTCCCTCCATTTGGAAGCCCGGCAACACTACCAAGACAACCTCCTTCACATTGAATACCGCCAGGAAGACCGGCAGAAGATGAATGCCCGCCACACCCAGAACCGCAGCTCCAGGGAAATTGTCCTTCTTGTACTCGTGCGTGTCGAAGCCGTCCATGGCCATTCCATCAGCCACATCGAAGTGACGAACGATCAAGGCCGTCTGCGTCGCAGCATCCCGAGCCAACATGCTGTCCTCATCGCCATCACCATCCATGCCTCCTGGGGGTGGGCGCCAGCGTCGCATGCTGCGTCACTTACGCCGCCTGGAGCCCATCCTCGAGCGCACGGAACACCTGGTTGCAGTGGGCGGAGGTCACGTGCCTGATGATCTTGACCGCGTGGGAGAGGTCCGATATCTGCTTGACGACCTGTTGTCGAGCTGGGGCGCACCAGCCCGCCGCCGAACACGGAAAAAGACCATCCCTGATAGTGCTCACGTGCAGCTGCTAGCGCACCGCGAACCACTCCAGGGCCGCGATCGAGATCGACAGCCGAAGAGGCAGAGGGCCGCCATCGTGAGTGGCTGCCGAAGGGCGCCAACGGGCGCGAGGCGCGCCAGGCACCGCTGGAGACCTGGCCGCGCGGTCCACACGGAGCACGGACGCAGGGTGCCGTCGGGTGCGGGCCGCGAGGGCCCGAGAGGCGCTGGAACCCAAATGGCTACGGAGAAGGAGGACGACGACGAGAGGGCGAGTGCTTTTGCTGTTTTGGACGTGGGTCAGAATCAAGCGCAAACTCTCAAGCAGCAAACAGGGACCGGACGGGGGCCGAAAAAGGCGAACGAGCGAGGGATAGAGAAGGACACCACGGCGGAGGGACGCCGACCGAGCGAAGAACCGAGGCCCTAAATCCGAGGAAACATGCCAAGCAAGGTAACAAAAATACATGCAGGCAAAGCCTCGTAAGGTTGGGAGACCGCGGTCTTCCCCTTCCCACCGCCACCATCTTCTCCCACAAGCCTCCCCTTCCCCACAATCAAGGATGGAAAACCTGGGCTGGCACTCGACCTTGATGCATCGATGCCAGGTTCCGCCACGACGTGGCAATCGGTGCAGCCCGAAGTGGCGACGGGGATGGGGCGTTTGAGAGGGGGGAGAGGGAGGATGAGCAGAGGGAGCAGGAAGAGAAAGATGAGGAAGATGAAAATAGGGAAGAGGAGGAAGAGGAGGAGGAGCAGGGGAGGAGGACCAAGCGTTACAAAAGGTGTTCCTGTGTCTGCGGGCTCCGACTGGGTGGCGCTGGCGCCAATTTCTGAAGAGGCCGACACCAAACTGCCACTTACGCCACCACCAGTCGAGCCCACAAGCCGGGTATCCTGACCCTTCACCGAGGGCGATAAAACGCCCTCGCACACGCCGCCCAGACGTTTAAAGCCAGGCCCGCAAACCGAGCCTCCTGGAGGTGCTCCCCAGGAGGAGTTCGGCGGCGGCCCACACGGCTTAGGAAATTTCCCGGAGTAGTGTTGGGGTAGGCGGGAGCCTGGGGCCAACGCGAGCAATCCTGTAGATCTGGAAAGTCGCGAACACTCTCCTGATGCTCGTGGGGGAGGGCTCTAACAGGGCGAATTTAACAGCAATGCGCTCTGGTAGGGGTCCCCCCATGGTCAAAGAGTAGCACGCGTTAAAGTGTGCACATGTGTGGTAATGTCTTAAATTATCATATGCGCTGCACCCGAAGACGCAAGTGTGCGAGTCTTGCTGGAGCGATGTTCGGAGGTCCAGTTCCCGCACCACGTGCGGGAAAGACAAACTCGGGCGGCAGCTCTCCAGGCGAGGCGCACCCTTTAGGAGCAGGGGAGGCGGAGGAGGAGGAGGAGGAGGAGGAGGAGGAGAAAGAGCAGCAGGAGGAGGAGGAGGAGGAGGAGGGGGAGGAGGAGCAGCAAGAGGAGGAGAAGGAGGCTCCGCGGCCTGCAGCGCCGCAGCTTGCGCCGACCAGCTGGTTCACAACGCTCTCGGGGTCGGCGTCTGGCAGCACCACCTGCCGCCCGGACCCCTGTCCACGTCTGCACCAGGAGGAGCGGAGGGAGGATAGGAAGCGAACACATCGCCTCCAAGACCTCCTCCTCCTCCTCCTCCTCCACCTCCTCATTCCTCCTCCTCCTCCTCCTTCCGCCCTCCCCCTTCTCCAAATTCCTCCACTTCCCTTTCCTTCTGTGTTTTCCCGACCCTCCTGCGTTGGTTTCTCGTTTTGAATAGAGCACTGCGGTCGCAAACCCCTTCCTCCTCCTCCTACTCTTCCTCCTCTTCATTCTCCTCTTCCTCCTCCTCCTTCCTCCTCCTCGTCCTCCTCCTCCTCCTCCTCTCCCTCCTCCTGCTTCCTCCTGCGCAGTTCCCTGGGTGGCTGCGGACTGCGCAACTCTCGCCATTTTCGTGGGCTCCTGGGAGACACGGTGAAGTATTGGAGTAACCGAGACCCCGCAGCTCCCTGGGTAGATGCGAGCTGACAACCGTCCTCACTTCCGTGGGCTCCTGGGGAGCACGGCAGAGTAGCGGAGTACCCGAGACCTCGCAGCTCCCCGGAAGGCTGCGAATTGCGCAACTATCGCCACTTTCGTGGGCTCCTGGGAGGCACGGCAGAGTAGCGGAGTACCCGAGACCTCGCAACTCCCTGGACGGCTGCGAACTGCGCAACTGGTGCCACTTCGTGGGCTCCTGGGAGGCCCAGCGGAGTCGGGGGCTACTCTGGGACCCATTGGGACCTCGCTGTCCCTCGGGAGGCTGCGAACTGCGACATTGTCACCACTTTTGTGGGCTCCTGGGAGCTCCGGCAGGGTCGGGGGCCACGCGCACCCACTCGAGACCCTGAAGCTCCCTGTGTAGCTGCGAACTGCGTGCCTGTCGCCACCGTCGTGGGCTCCTGGGAGGCCCAGCGGAGTCGGGGGCCACGCGGGGACCCATTTGGGATCTCGCTGCCCCCCGGAAGGCTGCAAATTGCGCAACTGTCACCGCTTCCGTGCGCTCCTGGGAAGTCCAGCGGGGTCGGGGGCCACGCGCACCCATTTGAGAACTCGCTGCTCCGTGGGTGACTGGCAACTGTGGTAACTGTGGCAACTTCCGTGGGCTCCTGGGAGCCCAGGAGGAGTCGGGGGCCACGCAGATGCAGCCGAGACCTTGCACCTCCCTGGGAGGCTGCGAACTGCGCAACTGTCGCCAATTTCGTGGGTTCCTTGGTGGCACAGCGGAGATGAGGGCAGCCCTGATCGTGCATATCTGGCGATCTGTCCTTTTGCATCGAGCGTGCATACAAATATTCGCCTCGTGTGGAGAAGGGCTTGGGCACGTCTCGGTAATTATCCTCCGCCGCCTCTGCCACCCACTCCTCCTCATCATCCGCCTCCGCCTCCGCCTCCGCATCCGCCTCCTCGTCCTCGTCCTTATCCTCGTCTTCCTCCTCCTCCTCATCCTCCTCCTCCTCCTCGTCGTCCTCCCTCTCCTTCGCTTAAGGTTGCGCGGACTCAAACATCAGAGCTGGAACATCAAAACATCATCCTTCCTCCTGCCTCCACCGTCCTCCATGTCCAACCTTTTGGGGAGAGGGAGGAGGTTGGAGGGAGGAAAGAGTATCAAGAAACACCCTACCCCCCACCAGCCCCCGAAGAAGGACACATTGTATAAACATGGCTGTTCGAATCTCCGCGCAGATGTCTTGGGTCGGAAATGGACCCCTCCCATGGCGCACGACGCGAGACAGAGCCACAAGTCACTCGGCAGCCATCCGGCCAGCCAGGGCGCGCGCCATCATAGCGCATTCGCCGGGCGGGCGGGAGACGCCGAACAAATGTTCGCTGCGCCTCCGTACCCCGCGCATCCATGGCACGGGTCCGACGGGCAGGCGCGCGACTGCAACGAAAACCGCGTTCGCGCCCGCCCCCTGATCTTCGATCGAATCGCCGCAGGACGGAAGGAAAATACCCTGATAAGGATCGCCGCCTCGGGAAATCTAGAGGGGTAGAGGTGGGGGGCGGGGGGCCTAAGAACTATAATGATGACGAAGTCTGCCTGGTCCTCGTCGCTGAGCTCGACGAACGCGACCTCGGTCCCGTCGGGCGCGTAGACACCGTTCGAAACCACAAAGACCGTCACGGGCTTCACCTCGCGGCCGAGCTCGCAGCCCAGAGTGACCCTCATCGACCACCCGCCAGACACGAGTGCCCAGCGTCGGTGCCGCCTCCAACTACTTGGGTCCATCGATGGCCTGGCCACCGCGTTTCCCATCAGCAGCTGGATCGCTGCCTACCGGCCAGTCGACAGTCGCACGGTTGGACATGCAACCAGGGTCGCCGCATATCACTTCGAGTCCTTCATGTTATCGTCATCGAGGTCCACTGCCTGGAGCTCGTACACGGGGTCGGTGAAGGTGGCGGGGAGGCGGCCGTCGGCTGCACGGTGCACCCGCGCCTCCGGACTCACCTCAAGATCTCCTCCCTCCGCCGTCGAAACGTAGAGATCCCCGTCGGGTGTTGCCACCTCCCAGTCAAGACTTCTCGATTTGGGTACAGGCAGCGGCCAAGTCAACTGACGCTCATCCCAAAGATCGTCGTCGGCGTAGCAGACTGGAATCACGTTTCCTGGCACCAGGTCGGACGATGGCGCCACGGCCCGCATACTGGGCACGGCGAGGGCACGACTGCGTGGCGCACAGCGCCGAGCACGCTCCGAAGCTCCAGCGGATCACCACCGCGAGCGCCACGACCCAGACAGGCAGGCGGGCCCTGTCGCCGCTGCCCGTCGACCCCGCGTCCGCGCGGGCGGGCGCGGGGCCTCCTCGCGGCTCGCCGCCTCGCACGGCGGGCGCGAGGGGGTCGCGCAGATCGCCTACGGGCAGATCAGAGCCGGCAGCGCTGGGCAGGCGAGGGCCACCGGCGGATAGCTGAGCACTGGCGCCGGGCAGGCCGGAGGTGTCGGACAGGCGGGGCAACTGCTCAGCCACGCGCCGCCCAGGTTGGCCGCCCCGAAAATGGCAGCCTGCGCGACGTGTGCCGCAACCCTACACCAGCGCCTGATGCGTCGCGAGGCGCCAGGAGCGGCTCGCGAGCGAAAAAGGCTTGAGCAGAGGTAGCCACATACGGTGGACGGCTTACCAGACGGGATGCAATACAAACTCGTGTGGACACTGTAATAAAAATATGGGCACGTATCATACTAAGAGCGATGTTACTAATAATAGCAACGGTACTGGTATAACTGA